TCGACATAGGCTCTCTTACCCGTTAAACGTAAGTTGGAACTTGATTTATTTAGGATTCTAGAGTTGCATAGACATATGTAAACACTAGCATAAGCTTCTAAACAAACCAAAAGCGGTATGGAATAGAGTTGAACCAGTTTGCATAAATTGGTTTGATTACGGGCACACTTGATAAGTGTAATTCATCTTTTAGAACTAAATCTTAGTAGGGGGTTGGTTTTTTAATCTTTGTGTTTTTAAATTGTGTTTCCCAACATATTCACCAATTTTTATCCTAAACCTGATTGCTCATTCAAGCAATTTAAAAAATCAATTTTAAAAGAAAACTAGTCCCTGTGGAGACGAACTTGGAATATTTCCAGATTATTACTTGTGACAGTGTGCACTTGCACTTACCCTCTAGCTATTAAGCTGAGGCGCAACAAGTTTTATAATCATGTTTCAACACAAAAAATACAACGACTATTAAACCAACCTAGGCGAATCATTTTTCAACAACAACTTTCTACTACATAGCAAATAAGTTTTGGTGGTTCTTAAGGGCTGGCGGCAAGTTTTCCAGTTGTAACTCTGGTGCCACACCTATTGTATTTGTGAACTTTTTGAGGCTCTCCGGCCAAAAGGTATTTGTATAGTTTGTCGGCATTAGAACAAATTTCGGAGGCTTGATGGTGAATTCGACAAAGTCTTTTGGTAAAACTCAATCCTCTTCATCGCCCAGTTGGTAGATTGGTTCGGCATACACAGTAATTAGCGTCTTCAATCTATACTTGGAGGAATACAACGTTTACCTATTAACATTCCGATGCATGGCTCAATAACAACATGAGAGCATGGAATCTAGTAGTAGTCAAACTACTTACATGTACAAGTCTTACCGTTACACGCACTTTACTACTACCATCGTGTACCTTAAACTCGTAATTATCAATTGATATAATGGTATGTCACTGAGCCTGGTTCACAGCTTCTTTAAGAATGTCTTCAACATAATCATGAGAACGGATGCTGTTGTGGATGTGTATGTCCACTGTTCATAAAACCACAGTTGTAGAAGAGCCCGACAATGTTCGTGCAGTGCAGTGACCGATAAAGCTCGTGCATTCATAACTACTGCATTCATGGACTTTGCAATGTTAGTTGTCATTTGGCTGAACATTAATCTTGGTTGATATACACGTGCCCATTTATCGAACTAGATGTCTTCTAGATACTTTTGCACATCGAGAATCCCACAAATTGTTTCCAATAGTGCCAGAAGGTCAATTTCTTAAATGCCTTGGCGACTTAAAGGTACAACTTCTCTGCTTGTCCTGATTCTTAAACTTATCATTCAAATTCATCTGTACATGATGCATGCAAGTGAAATGTTTTGCAGTGGGAAAGACCGTAGCTACCGAGTTATTAATGGTTTGGTGCTGGTCGGACACGAAAACAAATTTGTCTATCGCTCTAATTTAACTCTTCACTCATTCCAAGAACCAAGTCCGTGAGTTGTCTGTTTCCCTTTCTACGATTCCAAATGCGAGTGAATATATTTGATTATTACCATCAATAAAAGAATTAATTAGTATCACACATTGTATTTTTCCTTCAGATGTGCACCGTCAATGACAAGTACTGAGCGTATGCAACTTCTAAACCCCCAGATAGAGCAGCCTAGGGCCATGAATGCATATTGAAAATATTTATCATCTTCAGCTTTAAGTTAAAATTGTGCTTACGTTCACAGATTTCAATGCCTCATCATATTTACGTAGAAGAGTATAAGACTTCTTCGGTGATCCCATTAGTAGGTCCAAGGCTACTTCTCTCGCATGCCACGCCTTTTCATACCAGATGTTAATGTCATAGTTTCTACTCATGTCATTAACAATATCCTTTGGCCTATAACGACGGCTTATATCCTCAAAGTTGGACTTTGTAATCTGAAACCACCATACAATTTCAAGCTAGTCGATGGTCATGTTTCATACTTCACGTATGCAATTGTGCATACCAAAGAACTTAGAGATAAGGAAGGTATCTGAACTAGAAATTCTTCGTACCACATAGGCTTCAGTTGCATCCATTCTCAGAGCATCCGACAGTCAACAAAATTTTCATAGATTTCTTCACGCGAAATTCAAAATTCAATCTATTGCGAACACCGAGGATTTGAATTGCAATTTTACCTTCGATCGGAAAGTACTCCCTACCACAATGTCGTCCGATAACAAACCAAGTTTATCACTTGTCCTAGTGATATCTCTCGAGCAAGAAGCTGGAATAGTTGTACAACACGCGTTCGTACTTACCGTGTGCATTTCAGTTAGATGTATAGAAGATGGAGTAGCTACGTCTACTAGCTCTACCTCCTCCTCATCATCAATCTCAACATCATTCTCAAACTCAGTATCGGGGTTCTCAAACTTCGTATCATCAGGCTCAGTATAATCAATCTCATAATTATCCCCAGCATTATCTTTAACCTCGTACTCCACATCATTCTCATTATCCTCATCCCATTGACCATAATAGTTTGGTTCATAATCACCTAAGTTGCATGGGACCACATTGTTTGTGAACAGGGTTATGAACGAGACAAAACACGAGGGAGCAGCATAGGAACATTTTGCTCTAACTGGTTAGGAAATAAATGAAATGCTTCGGTTCCTGGAATTATGCGATTCTGTGAAGTGCTACCACTATCGTGTATTTCCTTCGATACAACAGATACGTACTCTAAAACTTTAGAGGGATGTGGAAGGCCTGTTAAAAAAATCTAAGGCTGTAGTCATAAGAAATATAATACTTTGGTACTTGGTACTGCAACTTGAATTTATATAAATAATGTATTACGATGTTGAACTAGTCAGGATCTATTCGGGTGAGCCTAAATATCGCACTTATGAGCTCATCATATGTTATACTATGGTCTACATCCAAACCTCCCATAATTCTACCTACGTAGACAGATTGTGGTTCATTCCACTGACCACTGTAACTAACAAAGAGGCGAGACATCCTGCATAACAAATCAAAACAACAACATTAAAAAAAAATTAAAACAATATATAAAATTATATATCAGAAGCCGGGCAAGAATTCCGCAAAATTCGTGTGAAGTTCTTGTGGGCGAAAATAAAAACTTCCACTGAGTTGCTAAAAATCTACAAAACTGAGGCGAAAATACTTAGAACTTCAACCGAGTTTCATAAAAAAATGCAGAATTTATGACCAACAAAGATACGCTCTATCTTTCCTTAAAAATAAAATAAAATAAAACAAAGATGCACTCTGTGCATGAATATAAAGTCGAAAACACATAACATTGTTTCTAAAAGAAATAGCACCTACCTCGTTAGAGTGAAAAATATATTCAGCCACAAACAACCTAAGTGCTCAGATGGGAGGGTGACTTTGAATGTAAACAAACGTAGTAGTACACTTTTTTAAAGTACAATATTCTTTTTGTTGTCTGAAAGCTAAGTACAAAATACACTGGTAGGAACTTAATACTTTCATAGGTATGGTTTGTTGAACACTAAATGTTTGGGCGAGTTAGGTGTTTGCATTAATTAAAGAGTGGATTGTATTAATCAATACCTCAGTCGGGTATCAAACCACAGTCGGGAATTTAAAGGTAAGGTAACTTTAATTCTAGCCCATAAACAACTTTATGCGGTTATTTTAACAAAATATGGCTGGAAATATGTCGAACTCGCCCGTGGTCCATCACTTACTTTTACGTTATGAATTCTAAATCAGTAGTAGTTATGTACATTTACTTCCATTAACGTGTCAAAAAACTTTGTTTTAGGTTAGAAAAAAATAAAAGATAATATCTTCGGAGGACTGTTTTAGAAAATTATTTACACAAATGTCTAAAATTTTCTAATTTTACACTTTTAGGTTCCTGCCTATAGGATTTTATTTTAATTTCGATTTTATCCTTATTTATTCCATTTACATTTATTATAGATATTCGTTTTTTTGAAATATAAAAGATTTAATTCCATAAATTATTACCATAATCCTTTAATTATTGTGGGCCCATACTAATTTTCAACCAAAATCCCTTGATTCACTCCTTCAAAACTTTAATTTACTCCTTCAAAAAGATTTATTTTCCCCCAATTCACTCCCACACTTGTGCTCAATCTTCAAGGACAATTCAAAATCATATAAACATCTTTTGAAGTCTCAACAAACATATATCCGCATATTGAAAATCACAGTATTATCCACTTATATATCCGCATATATACATTCAAAATCACTATAGTATATATTTGCACATCTGCATATATACAAGTTGAGTTATAAGATATATCCGCATACATACATTCAAAATCACTATAGTATATATCCGCATATATACAAGTTGAGTTATAAGATATATCCTAATCAAATCACTATACTATATATCCTCACATATACAATATTTCACACGAAATCAGAAAATTGAAAACATCCGTTGGAATGCAAACCTTTCAATCTGGAGATGAACTGCTATGGCGACTGAGAAAAATGGAGGCGACCGGAGATGAAGGCAGGCAGACGTCGGTTGGAGACGAAGGTTTATAGAAACGACCGGAGAATAAGAACCAACGGAAATCTCCTTTCGAAGGTGGTCGGAGATGAATACTCTTGCGACAAAGAAAAGCGGAGCCGAATGGAGGAAGGCACAACAACAGACGATCGGAGAAGAGGAACGGAGGGTTGGAGGAAGGAAAACCGACGATCGAAGGAAGAAAAGAAAAACGAGGAAGAAGAAAAGGGTGGATTTCGATAATTTTTTGGGTTTTGAGATTTTTTAATTTTGGAAAGTATATTAACTATTTTAATAATTATTTAATATTGATATAGATGCCTGCCTATAGGATGGTACTGCCTCAGTAAGAAGTTCGTGAGGTACTGCCGGCAGATCCTGGAAATTATTATCTAACTGGCACATCTGTCTTTTGCTCCTCTCTATATGCTGTCTCTTATACACATCAATCAAATACCGCCGGCAGATCCTGGAAATTATTATCTAAGTGGCACATCTATCTTTTGCTCCTCTCTATAGGTATGTGCTTTAGCCCTGATTGTCTAATTTAATACTAAAAGAGAAAGAGATTCGTCTTGCTTATGTGCTTGCTTATTGGATTGAGTGCGCGGTAGATGCTTCTGACCGAACCGCTCTTTGCTTCACCAAAGATGCTGTTTTATTCCTATAGTAATTTGTGTTATGGTACATCTGATCGATCGGATTGTTTCTTGTATGCATTATTTGAGCACACTTAAACTAAAACTTATTTTTAGCGGAAATCAGTCAATTTCCCATTTCCCAGTACCCCTTCTTCTCGGCCAACAGACCTCCGCGAACGGCGACTCCTCTGCAGCCGCAGCCCCTCCCTTCGACGTTGTTCGAACTCCACTGCAGCAACCCCCTTGTGCGGCGTTCCCCCGGCGTGGTGGCGACCAGACCTTCGACGCTCAAGCTGCACCCGGAGAATGATTTCCGTTTGCTCAGTTAGAGCAATTCAAGCTGCACCTTCTATTCAGCTGTTTTTCCCTCGGAACCGTGGAAGAATCACTTCTAACGTTCATCGAATAGCCACCAATCACTCCACTAGATGCTCGGATTACGATGAATGTGGTGAAGCTCACTCCGAACGGATAACCAATTACGCCGGAATGAGGCTTGAAGAGATCGTGGACGTAAACTCCGGAAAAATTCGTCTGGATTCTTGGATATCTTGCCGTATTAACGGCATTAGTAGGGCTCGTGTGCAGTCAAGTATTAGGGCGGGACTAGTTACAGTCAATGGCCGAGTTATCGATAAGGTACCGACGTTTTAGCTTATACTCCCAAACAAATGATAGATTTTATGACTCGTCTAGTATCTCTTTGTTTTTGTTCTTTTAGCTTCTTTCAGCTCATTCGCTATTCCTATCCCGTGGTCTGGAATCTGGGTGGTGAATTATTTTTGGCTCTAAATTCCCTGTTTTTGTTCTATACTTGAGTTTTTAGTTTGTACATTCATTTACAATTTTTGGTATGTTTTCTATTGATACTCGAGCAGGTTTCTCATAATATAAAAGCTGGGGATATGATCAATTGTACAATTTCCGAGTTGCAACCGTTAAGAGCCAAACCCGAAGATATTGATTTGGATATAGTTTATGAAGATGAACATGTTTTAGTTGTAAACAAACCTGCGCATATGGTAACGATTCAAAAGACATTATGTTTCAAGTTCGATATTATTTGCATAGTTGCTTCCTACGCTGGGCAAATTATTGCATATTTGTGAATGGAAAACATCAATACTGCTGGATAAAATTCAACAGCTCGTGTCTGAAGTTTTACAAAAGATTGAATTTTTCATTCCTCTGCATTTAGATCCGTTGTCAGCATCTTGATTACTTGTAATCAAGTTTGTCTAAATCCTTTCTACTTTCCAGTTTATGATAGTGCCTTTTTCCATGATTCAGGTTGTTCATCCAGCACCTGGGAATGCAACAGGAACACTAGTAAATGCGATTCTTAACCACTGCAGTCTTCCAATGGTTGCAACATCAAATGGGGAACTGTCGGATATGGATATTTCTGATGATGAGTTCAGTTCCAATGAGATTTTATCTTCTAGAGCTTCTGAGGCACCTATTCGTCCCGGCATTGTGCATAGGTTGGATAAAGGCACTAGTGGATTGCTTGTTGTTGCCAAGGTGATTTACTCTCTAGTCTCCTCTTTTAGGCTTCCTGGCTGCCGCTTATCATAGGATAAAAGCAAACAATTCTTGTTTGGTGCTCTATAATTTTGCAGCTTTAAAGCAATTCTTTTTCTTACCATGTCTAACTCCTAAGGTTGTTGCATTCGAATCACAGGATGAACATTCCCATGCTCACTTATCTGCTCAATTCAAGCAACACTCTATTGAGAGAGTTTATATCAGTCTCACATGTGGAGTTCCACCCTCAACTGCTGGACGTATTGAGGTACCAATTTGCCGTGATCCAAACAATCGTATTCGCATGAGTGCAGTACTGAGAACAAATAAAAATCCACATGCAAAGTATGCTGCTAGTAGGTAATTTGTTTTTCTTCATCAATAATTGTCATATGGAAAGCAATTATAAATTTAGCTCTTGAAATGTAGTCTTCCCCATGATAGGTTTGGGTGTCCTATTGTAGAGGAATTGGATGTATGGAACCACTTATTTATGCAAATATATAGGTTTTTTTTTTAAAATATCATGTAGGTTTAAAAACGTACCTGCAGTTAAACTAAATGAAGAGAAAATAACCAACTTTCTCATAAAATTAAGATTACAACTGGCTTCTAGCACATCAGAATTAGCAGTAAGTTGCACAAAGTTGCAACACTCTGGTAGGATTGATATTAGGATAGATTGGGAATATTATTAGAGTATTAAGGGTATAGTAGTAATTAGGTTAGGGAGTTTGGTTATAAATAAGGTGAGGGAAAATGATGAAGGTAGGCAATTAATGAGTATGGTTTAGGCTTGAGTAGGAATACTCAAGAGAGGGAGGGTCCAAGTACCTCGAATTACTTAGAAGTTGTTGTAGTTCTTATATCGTTCATCTCATTATTGTTTGGTTCTATCACACTCCTTGTGCAGACTTACTGTCAACAATACTCAGATACTAGATAATCTTTGAATTTACTTTTGGAAAGTACTTTTGGAAAGTACTTTAGTCAAAATATTAAGAGCTTGATCTTCATTCTGTATTCTTTGTAACTCAATTTCTTGAGTCAGGCACCTTTTCTTGGATAAGATGAAATGTGTTTTGTTTGAGCATAGAACACTTGATTTCCAGCCGACTTTTCAGTAAATAGGAATTGGGTAATTGAGAGATCTCTTTAATGAGTCTCTTGAGCCAAACACATTCTTGAGTAGCCATAGTGCCTTCCACATATCCATCTTCCACAAATTGAAAGAGCCACATGATTTTGATCGATTATTCTAGAAAATTGGCAACGGACATTACGTACATCTCCTTTTCCAATGACTGTTGGCTGCTAGAAGACTCACTGGCCGTAATTTTCCCCTGTTATTTGATCTCTCTCAGAAAAAACAGCTACTGTACAAGATTTGTGAAGCGAAGAGTTTGGAGGTTGGATCCTTAGCCCGAGAAGGAATTTGAAAGAAGCTGAAATTGAAGAATGGGTTGCCTCATCCCCCTCCTCACATCTGTTCACTTGTCTACTGCAGAAGACCAATGTCTTTGAAAACTAGAATCAAATGACACCTTTTCTATTAACTCACTTGAAGGGATCTTAAACAAAAGAGACTTAAATCCTCGCCCATGCTTTATGAAGCTTTTTGGAAGGATCCTTACCCCAAAAAGGTGTAATTATTTTTATGCGAGGTTAGTCACAAGTCCATCAACACAAGACAAGCTTCAACATAGAATTCCCTATATGGATTTATCTCCTCAATGGTGTTCGATGTGCAAGCCGCAAGGACAGCTCCGAATCTTAGCAGAATATTTTTGTCAATTGTTCTTTGCCACAATGTTCTGGAGATCTATCTTAGCTGATTTTGGTTGGTCTTGGCCCTACCTAATGATCCCAACTTTCTCCTTTGCACACGCCTTTGGCCCTCACAGAAATCCTTGTTGCCAGAATAATGTTGTAGCTCGAAGAAGGGGACAAGGAGAGATTTAATTCACGACTCCGTAATGAAATTATGAGATGCTCCACTGTCGATCAAAACTACTGCCCCTCGATTTTTAATTCTCCCTCTCAGCTTCATCGTCTTAGGAGAATCAAGCCGAACCATCGATTTCAAGGATAAGGTCACACCCCCTAGTCATATCTGTGGATTTGAGGGATTCTAGGATGACCTCTTCCTCGTGCTCGAGTTCTTCGTCTTTTGTAGTCGCTGGTTCCAGCGGCTCGTCGTCTTTGTCATTGAATATCAGACATTGCAACTCCTTTTTACACCTATGACTTGGAGTGAACTCATCACACTTGAAGCGGAGCCCTTTCTCGCGTTTGGCTTGTAATTCACTATTCGTTAGCAGCTTGAAGTTCCTAGAAATCCCTGTTTTAGGGTTTGCATCGCGATTGGGAGGTGGCAGATTTGGAGTCAGGCCAGTGCTTTGATTTGGATTTAGGTTAATGGCTTGTGTTGAGGATGAGTTTGACGAACTAGCGGCGGTCTTCGTTGGGCCAGCGAATCGAACACATTAATTCTCTTCTTTCTACTAGCAAAATCTTTCAATCAACAATTCACGAAACTCCTTCCAACTTGTGATCGACGTTCGACCTCCACTCACTTATGCCTTGACCGAGCTTCCTCTTCCAGGCAAAGTACGACTGCAGTGAGCTTGTCTTTTCTGGATAATTGATTCACCACGAAATATCGTTCCACATGGTGCAACATACCATCCAGATCTTCTCATCTTCTCGCTTGAAAATAGGTACATCTAATTCCTTAATCTTATGTCAAAGTCAAACAACGGTACATCTCGGGGTCCTACTGATTTCTCAGTGGTCTTAGCCCCAATATTTCCTTCTCGTTAGATTCCAAGTCTATCAGTTGTTTCCTCTTATCTGTGTGGGTGTGCTTTGAGGACTCCACTTCGTCATTGGTCTTTGACTGGCCTTCAAGTTTCCTTGCTATCATCTCAAATCCTTGCACCAGTTTGTTCCATCGCACTATTCATCTCTTCCTAGAATTGAGACAACCTTTGGTCGATCCTTTATTCTGTCCCAGCTTGCATCAGGGTGATTCTCTCCTCTAATTCGTTCACTGTAGCTTCCATTTTTCCCACCATTCCCAGAAAAGATGGCTTTGATACTAAAAATTGATAAGAACCAACTTTATTTATGCAAGGGAAAATTTGAGAGTTCCCGGCTCTCCCTCAAGCCTCAGCAAAAAGATACCAAAATGCATGAAAATTTGAGGTTGCATTTTTCTGTGGGTTTCTTATTCTTAATTCAAGACAAGGTCGCATAATGATGGTCATTGGTTTTGCCGCCTCGGTACAAAAATGTTTTAATAGGCCCGTTGCATACTCTTTAGTGAGACAATCAGACAATATCCATCCGGTCTTTCAATTTCAAGTCCAGGAAAATAGCTAGCTTCAACCAAGCTTCCCATTTCAAATCAAATGGATAATGAATCTCAAAATAAGTTATTTCATAATTGTTATCTCAAGTGATGACCATATCCTACACACAAAGAAGAAAAAATTATGCACATTGTGGCTGTTTTTAAAGACACAATGCCACAAAAAATAGGATATTACATGATCATACTATTCCAAATACATGGAGCTTGCTTGAGACCATATAATGCTTTCTCGAGTCAACATACATGATCAGGGAACTCTTTAGAAATAAGTCCCCATGGCTGCTCCATAAAAATGTCATGGTCCAACTCCCCCAAGTGAAGTACATTTTTCTCATCAATAGTTAAAATTTTTGTTGTGGAGTCTTTAGTCGAGTCAATTGTTCACTAAATTTCATGTTTCTTATGAATTGATTGGACATGTTCTCCTTTATTCTTGGTGTGCAAACATTTTATTGGTAGTCCAAGTTTTTTTCCACATCTTGTTTGAATGAAGAAAATTTGGAGAGCTTTCACTTTGGTGTTCTGAAAATATATCCAAGTGAATTGAGAAAAGTCATTCATAATAACCATCGCATAAATCATAATGTAAATTCATGTAGCTAAGCACCGATTTCTTTAAAAAGGAAACTAGTCAAAAGAAAAAGAATTACATTAAGAGTCTTTTATTGTCAAGGATCCTAGATAATGGAAATTTACAAAAAAGAAAAATTTGAAGAGAGCACTTAAAAAAGAGAGATATCGAAGTGAGCCACCCTCCAAACCTCCTCCTAGAAGTCCTCCACGCCCTTAAAAATTCTCCAATCTCTCTTGGTACTAATCTAGTTAATAGTCAAAATCATCACTTGCCATAGAAAATGCCGTTGTTTTGAGCTGAAATAATGCCAAAGATTTCAAGAAATTTTCCCTATGTTTCTGAATTAAAATAAGTATTTTGTGAAGAAAAAATATCATTTACAAATTAGGAAAGAACTAACAAAATAACGGTAATATAATTAGTGTGATAATAGATATAGACAAGGTCAACTACATTTACAAATAAAATCAACACTCCCTACAGACTGATGGAATAGATTGTTCAAGCTTGTTTACTGGATTGATTGTTTACATGGAGGCGTTGAGGTGGTTCTTTCAGAGACACTGTTGGGGTGGTGGCTTAAAGGGAAAATTTAGACTAAACTGTCCTTTGGACTGTATGAATAGAAAGGAATGGTAGAATTTTCAGCAAATATTTTTGTAGACTGTGGGAGATCATACGTTAAACTGAGGAGCCTCTTGGACCAAACGTCACACGAATTTGGATTGGATTGGGGTTCTTTTTGGATTCTCCCTTTTGATTCATCAGGAGGAGATGCCTTATCTTATGTATCCACTTCTATTGATGAAATCCCACGTGTTTCTTATTAAATAAAAATAAAATAAAAAGGATTCAACACTTCCCCCTCGAACTGTTTGCTATATATCTCTAATTTTCTCATACAATGAAATCAAGCAAAATTAGGAGAATGTAATCGGTGGGATTTTGATTTATAACCTCGTCCCATTCCTCGCTTTGGAAACATCAACATAAATTCAGAGATAACTGCATAAAAATCTTTTATCTCATTTTATTTTATATACTTAATTATTTTCTATGTATAGAAAATATTTATATAATATTAAGTTTTGTCCTTCCTAACACACTGAGGAAAACGAACGTTTCACAGGTACAAGGTTATTGAAATTTTAGCTCAAGGAGGTTCTTCATTGGTTGAGTGGAGATTAGAAACAGGCCGCACCCATCAGGTGCGTAGTGAAACTACGTGCCGCAACAAATTTATATTAAAGCCATAAAACAATACGTTTTGAAGCATAGATGATTTTGATTAACCACCATGTATAGATGAGCTCAATAACATATTGATGATACTGCCATTGTTTTCTAGTCACTGTGTGCATGCATACATTAAAGCACAATATAAAGAGTCGGAGTTGCATCTGGAACATTCAAACAATCACAGTTACCAATTCACACACTTGAAATTTCCACATGGGTTGCAGTTTCAGTTATTTTTTCTTTTAGAAAATTGAAAATTTGAAATGTAGTTCTTACTTTCTACTCAGTCTTAGGAGTGAATATTTGTGAAGTAGATCAGAGCACATGCAAAGTATATGGGAATACCCTTACTTGGAGACGAGGTCTATGGAGGGACCAAGAGCATGGCCTTGTCACTTCTGCGGACTAGAACATCATCTAGTTGTCACAGCCAACTTATGCAACTTGTTTCTGCATTAGAGAGGCCTTGCCTTCATGCTTTGACACTTGGGTTTGAAAACAAATCTTTAGCGCTCATTTGATTATGTTATTATTTTTTTTCAAATTTTTTTTTCCATTTTTGAGAATTAGATGCACTTGTTTCTTGTGACTCAGTTTTTAGAAGTATTTTTAATTTTTCTTTTTAGAAACAAAAAAATTGATTTCTCGTTTCCAATTTTTCAGATACCTTTATTATTTTCAACTCATAATTGTATCGTATTTTTAAAATTGAATTTTCGACTTCTTTTTTAAAAGTAAAGGTTTAGAGAATATGAAACAAGAATAATTATTTCAAAAGGAAACAAGAATGTTGTCAAATTATGCTGAGATTCTTCGTTTCTTCTGTAGACAACTGATGCAAGATCACTGAACAATTTGTAGGTTTATACATCCATACACGGGGGAGAACATACGATTTTCATGCCCACCTCCAACAGATTTTGCTGATATCTATAGTCAGCTTTGTGAAATTGGCACTAAAAAGGTATCTCTTAAATACTGATTCTTCTCAGTTTTTACTCAACCCAAGCTCTTTGCATGGTGATTGGTGATTTTACTTCATCCATCATAAAGAACTATATCAAGAATGGTCCAGGGGTTTTTCATGCACATATCCAACCTACTTTATAGCTAAACCTAGATAGCTAATATGTCTTTGTGCAATTTAGCAATATGTAATATATATTTCGTAAAAATTAAGAATGATATGATTGATCAAATAAAATATCTAAAGAGCGACAACAGAAATATTAAATTTCTCTCATCTTTATTCTTATTTATAGTATGAATGTAAATAGTTTATTGTATCACATTTATAGCTATGTCAGATTATTATACAAATAATATAATCGGATACAAAAGCTTAGTTTTAAATATTATAATAGAGACCAATTTTCTGAGCAATTTGAACTCTATACATCTCCAAGCGATTTTTGAACCTTCAACCTAGAATGAAGAGGTACACGTCTTATCATTGCGCTCAGCCCAAGTTGGCATCACCATTAAATTTCATATCTCATAGATTAATACTCTTGTAGGCACGATGCTGTATGGTGCACAACTGCACACTGAAACAACAGTAAACTTTACATCAATATTCAATATTGGATATTAAACAATGGTTGCTGCAATAGAATCTAGCTGGGAGATGTGGTTTTCGCGTTGTTCCAGTAAAACCAATAAAAGCCTGTTGTTTTGAAAATTGCAGGTTACCGAATCTTAATTGGGATCCTTCAATATGTGGCACGTACTCACATTGTCAAAGGACTCAAACCGGAAAGACTGTACAGGTATGCCTGGCCCTTGGTTTGTTATTAATTACATATATCTTTTCGTATACATAGTTCTTAAACTTTAAAAAGTTTTGGTCATGTTTGTAGATATTGAATTCTGCTGATCTTTAATTTTTTTTTGCTATCAACATAGATTGATGAGACACTAACCTGACTTGTATTTTGCTAACATAAGTCTAACTCAGTGGTAATTGACACTTTTTTTTGACCAAAAGATCATGAGTTTGAATCCTCCCACCCCCAATTATTGCACTAAACAAACATGACTTGCAATTCTTGAAATTTAGATCAAGACAAATGAATGAATGCTCTCTTCTTTCCGCCTATGTTTTACCATTTGCAACTCCACCTCTCTATGATGCAAGCATTGCTCTGCCGAACAGTCCATCCATCTCTTTTTGCATCCTATTTTTTTTGTTAATTATATGTTTGTGTCTGGGTTGGTGTGCTTTGCTCTGTGATTTTCTTTTGGAAATTCAACACCGAGAATTTGATTATAGTATGAACAGAGAGTCTCCCTAAAGCTCTATATCTCGATATTGAAATCGAGATGAAGCAGCAGCAACAATGGCACAAGCATTTGAAACCCTCAAAGCACATCCGGTATGCTCGAAGGTGCTTCTCCGGTCGAAGGAATCATTGCTGGTGTTGAACATTCGCCTGCTTGCCATGTGCAATGGAACCTCATGTTTCACTTAACATTCATGGTAAGCAACTATTGCAAATTTGCAATTAATCCATAGGAACGTGGTTGAAGATTCATCATCATTCAATTACAAATATACTTGAAAGACATCATTTCAGTAAAATAGAGACTACCCTGAGTGAACTCACATTGAAGAAGAGGGCGATCTCCTCTCTGTTAGATTGTTTATCTGATTTCAAAAAAATTATGTGATTTTTTAAAAATTATTTATTGAAATGAATTTGAATACTTATTTCAATGTTCTATTTTTTATTTTTATTTTTTGCATTATTTGGTGTATGAATGAAAGATTGTTAAATTGTCCGAGTATTTACTGTTTATCTCATTTCAATAATGTCTTTTGTCTGTTTCAGTAATTTATTAAACTAAACTTTTCTTCCCTTGGATTTCTTGATGCAATATTTCTTTTCTAAGTTGGACTCCAGATATTGAACTTAAATTTGGTGTTTCAAATGTTCTTATGATAAAAAGTATATTTAGTATTAAACAAGTTTGGTAAGTCTGGTTGCTGGTTTTGAAGAAAGAGGGATAATTCATTATGAAATATTTGGTCGAGGACGAACTAGAATTATTTAGGCATTGTTTGATAACAATTTCATTTTTTCGTTTTCTGTTTTTAAAATTTATACTTTATTTTTAATGATTTCTTTAGCATGTTTTTCACCTTCTTTGAAAACACATTCGAATTCTTAATCAAATATTAAAAACAAAAACAAGTTTTTAAAACCTATGTTTTTTAGTTTTCAAATTTTGGCTTAGATTTTAAAAATATTTTTAAAAAGTGATAACAAAACAAAGAAATATGTATGGTAACTTAATTTTTAAAAGTAGAAAGAAAAAAAAACAAAATGGTTATCAAACATTTTCAATCCAAAAATGGATGGTTCGATCCACCATTTAATTTGATATGAGTGGTTTGTGATTGGTAAAAATTGATTTTTGGGTCATCAATTTCAATGGAAAAAAGTTTATGATTTTTTACATTGAACTATGAATTTATTTGAATTTAACCTTGTATTTGAATAAATGTTGCAATTGTTACTTGTAATTTTTATCCCCTCACTCATGACACGTTAGCACTTCATTAATGTCACTAAGGTAAGTTTTAACTCCAGGACCATTTAAAACTATATTTTAAAAGTTGGAGGCTAACCTATATTTAAATTTATGGACTAAAAGTGTATTCGAAGTTACTTAAATTTAAATTTCAAATCCTAACCGACAAAAGTTTTTTAGTCCATATTTGAATTTGTTTTTGTGCCCATCGAAAGAAAATTTAAATTTAAATTTGTTGTTATGTGGAATGATTCAAATTATTTTAAAATGATAATTATTAATATTTAAAAATGTGGAATAAGTGAAAACGGGAGCGTAATAATTTGAAATAATTTTAAATCATTCTCCTTCTCTTCTTCTTTCGTGGAGGATCCACCATCACTCACATTCCTAATTCACGTCGGTGAATGCTTTTTAAAACTCTGGTAATGGTAGAATTTCGATTGCTCTTGTTTGTTTCTCTAAGGAAGGTTTGAGAGGGAGGAGGAAGAGGAGGATTATGCTGCTTCAGACTCAGCAGAGGGGAGCACGGTTGAGGAATCTTCAATTGAAGAATCTGAAGGGGAGATGCTAAATTGCTAGCAGAGGGGAGAAACTGAAATGGAGGTCGCTTCATTGGATTATGACAATCAATTGAAGAATTAGAAAGAAACGAAGGGACGATGCTAAATTCCAGCGGGGGAGAGAAACGAAATATCCACGACATTCAAAATATCCACGACTTATTGACAAATCTTCGATTGGGAAAAACGAAATTCCCCTCCCATATCGATGTCGAGCACATGTCACGCGACATGTTGACGTGTTGCTCGATTTTTAAAACAGTGATTATAACATACACTTATATGAAAATATAAACTATAACTTATATATGAACTATAAAGTATATATGGTTATATCATTTTAAAATTAATAAACGGAGTAAATAACCTGTATAATCAGTTATATACCACGTTACTATCCAATACTTTTTAAATACCCCAAAATTGAACACTCAAAATCAGAAATAAAAAAACAAACCTAGAATATTTAAAACGTAAATGGCAGAAAATGGGCTTGCAAAAACAATGGTGAAAAGTGAGTGAACCGGAAACGGGCTACCGAAGACGTCTACGACAGAAAATGGAGAACACTAAGAAGACGACGAGGAGACGACCTGACAAAAATAATGATGAAAAGAGATGAAGAGATAATAAAAATTTGGGAAGTCATTAGGGAAGTGAAAAGGTGCATTTAGGGATTTAAAATAACTATTTTTTATTTTAAATTTTCATATCTTAATAATAATTACATGAAAATAAAAAGGGGTATATTGGTAAAATGAATATGTGTTCCATCTTTAATGAGTGTTTTTTAAGACAAAAGTGTAAATTTTGTAAAATGGATTCCGATTAGTAAGAGTATTTAGAGACTATAATTACGTAAAAGGATTGAATTGTATTAAAATTTACACTTTTCTCGTAAAACAACCCATTTAAAATGGTATTCATCACCAAATTTACTAATATATCATTTTATCTCACCCCAATATTAATTAATTTTTAAGATCCAAAATTGATTACTTGGTAGGTTACATTTTAAATCCCTTAAATTTTGCCTAATGAGACTCTCAAAAATTAAAAATACCAAATCCCAAAAATCTTCATTATTGAAAAAATTCGAAAACCTCATTCCTCCGACTTTTCTTCTTCCTCTGTTGTTATTTTTCCATCCATTCCTTCGTCTCCGACTGTCGTTTGCGTTCCTTCATTTCTGACCGTCGTCTCCGTTCTTCTTCGTCACCGAAACAGCTCGTCTAGCTTCTCCTTCATCTCCGATCGCTCGTCCATTGTTTCCATCTGTTTATCCCAAGGTTTCTTTTTTGTCGCCGGTTGCCTGTCGACCATTTGAGCCCTCCGTTTATCCCAACTATTGTCTAGTCGCGGACCGGTATGTTTGTAGATTATTTGCTTTGTTTATTAATTGTAGAGGGATATAGTCGTATATACTTTATAGCCAAATATAGGTTAGATCTTCATATAAGTGTATGTTATAATGACTATAATTTATATCACTATTATTAAGTGTATGTTGCTACTTAAGTTTATAGTCAGATATAGTTCATATGGAATATATATATATATACACACACATACATATACGTATAAGTGTATGTTATAATGACTGTAATATTGAAATTTGGCCAAAATGAAAAAATATTTTGTAATAAATTTCATTATTTAGTAGAATATATTAACCAGTAAATTTGAGGATTATATATAATTGAATATTTTGTAATAAAATTCATTCTCTAGTAGAATATATTAAGGAGTAAATTAGGGGATTATAAAAATAATTGATTTATGTCCCACGATAATTTAATGTTTACAAAATCAAATTTGAAATATTAATCTTTTATTTAAAGTAATTATAATAAATATAAATACCATAAATAAGGACAAATTTGGTATTTGGAAAAGTTTAAAATCTAGAAATCTAAAACGGTAAAATTTGTAAACATTGGATATTTATAAAAATAAGTTTCAAAAAGAGTTTACCCAAAATATTATCTCTTTGGGTAATTATCATCGGTAAATAGTCTATGAATGTACTAATCCAAATTCGCATTCGGCTCGGTTTTGTTGTTCTTTGGTTCGAGTTTGGGCCATAAATCCCTGAGTTCCATGTGCCCGAAATGTCCATATACTGGGTAACTCCGACCCAGATATATTTAATAAATGGCCCAATGGGCCAAAATTGGGTCCATATTATTGATCTCGCCTGAGCCCAATATTTTAGGGTTCAGATCGGTAATCGGCCGTCGGAGTCATCGATCCGATTCCAATTTCCACCTGCCGCAGAAGACAATCGCTCTGTTGCTCCTCGCAGGAGGCTCTTTCCCAATGTTCTTCCCTTAATTCCGGAGCTATGGAATCTCTGTTCGAAGCTTACTCAAATGCTTCTGAAGACGACGAAGATGAACCTCAGCCCAAGCGCCTGGCTCTCCCCTCTTCGCCTTCAAAGAGGCCCAAACCCGAACGTTCCAAATTCCCGCCGAAGTTCCAGCCATCGCCTTCCCCGGACTTCAATTCAGAGCCTCAGAAGGGGATTATGGTTCCTGGACGCTACGTTTCCAAGCGAGAGCGAGCACTCTTGGGTGCAGCTCCTGTTTCTACGGCTCCGGACTCGTTCCTGAATCCATCGGTTCTATCTTCAACTGGTACATGCTCTTTTACTTTCGGCCTTCAGTTTAATTAATTGCCATTCTTGTTGGAGTGCCACTATCGTAATTGTTTTCATATGCTTCATCATAGAGTAGTTTTATTCATTGATTCCATCGTTCCTATGAATTTGAGAGATGAACTCGGCATTCTAGAGCTTGAATTTTGTCAAGGAATGGATGCTATTGTTTAAGACTTAGGTATGAGATTCATTGGTGTCGTTACATTATATTTGCTAGGAAATGGGAAAAAGGTAATCATATTAAGTTATATTATCTCATGGACAATGAGAGAGGAGCTCAAGTCTATTATAAAGCTCAAAATCGTGGCTATTAAGATTGTGACAGTTTTGGCTCATAAGTAAGTAGGTAGTGGTTGGAAGTTTATTTTTAGGAAAATACTTGCTCCAACAAGGTGAAAACTCCTCACTATTAAATATTAGAGAGAGTACAGGGAGGATGAGGGAGAAAGAGCTCCATCGTTTTTTTTTTCCTCCTACAACTTCTACAAAAAGTCTTTGTTTTTTCATTTGTCTCTTTGTTGAATGGTGAGATCCTCCTCAACACCAAGATTTTCCTTATTTTGCTTATTTTCCTTTTCAGATCACATGCTCCTTCATTCTTAAAATCTTTTCTCCTTGCACAAAAAAATTATGTTGAAATTTATATTTTGTTATTTGTCTCCATAGTTGGAATTTAGCTGACGTAATTGGTAAAAAAATTGTTCTGTCTACATGTTTATAAGAAAAATATTAACTACTTACTAGTGAACACCAATTTTTTCTTCTAACCACCATTAAATTTTTTACATGTAGGTGAGAAATTTTAGGAAAATATATATTTTTCTGCTTTTAAAACGGTACTTAAAAGTTGTCAAATTTTTGTTGGTGGTCAGCACAAAGATGAATACTGAGCGATAAACATTTAAGTATTGTTCTATTTATAAACGATGAATAATTAGCGATAAGCATTTAAGTATTGTTCTATTTATAAAAGATGAATACTAAACGATAAACAGTTAAGTATTGTTCTATTTATAAAAGATGAATATTTAGCGATAAGCATTTAAGTATTGTTCTATTTATAAAAGGGAACGTTACAATATTTTGAAATAAATTAAAACCATTACGTTCCAAACATTACAATATAATTCACCTTTTTCCTATTTCAGACAAACGAACTTAATTACATTGAATTGTAGTATGCTTGCTTATATTTAGGCACATAACACTCTTTGGTTGACTGCACGAGGCTATCAAACTATGAGTTTTCCTTACCAATTAGTAATATTATAGTTGCTCGAATGGGTTAAAAGCTGATCTGTAAGTTTTCTCCACTCTCATTTGGTTTTAGTTCCCGTGAAGGGGCTCGAAGTTCACAACAATATTAACTCTAGATCTCACCGGATGAAGAGAAGAAATTATTCCCTTGCAAAATTCAAGAATACATTATAGAAGATAATTGTCCTTTGAAATAACTCACTTTCTTTTAAAATTTTATTTCTCCTTGATTACCAAATAAGAGAAATTATCCCTTTATATACTCATCCATAATGTATTTAAAAAGACACAATATGAGTACATTCATCCATACAATTCATGTATTTAATAACTTAACTTTCATGTATCTAAAAATACGATTCACGTGTCTAGAATTGCATCTAAGAAAATGTACCAAGTAGCAAATCTATTGAATCTAGTTTAGAATTTTTTTTAAACAAGATACGAACTTTTCATTGAAATCTAGTTTAGAATTCTAACATCCCCTTTAGATAGAAATCATGACTCCCAAGTCCAAGATTCTCTTTCATCTTCATGAACAAGTCAGTTGTCAAGAACTTTGGCTACAAGAAACATCCTCAAGGAAAGAAACTGTCATATTTCGTCACAGTAGTTCATTGGTCACTTTTGTTAAAATTCAGACTTTTCATGGAAGGAGTAAGCATGTAAAGATCAAAATAATTGATTAAAGGATGGAGAATTGTAGGGCCAAGTGGTTGTCCCATGAGATTAGTCGAGGTGCGCGTGAGCTGGCTCGGACACTCACAGATTTAAAACAAAAAAAATGGATAATTGTTATTATTATTATTTTGAGGAGAAACATTCAATCATTTCATTGATATGATGAAATAACATAAAATTCCCAAGCTGAGGGAAGTCGTAAAAAGCTGTTAGGCCACCGATTATTCATACATATGTAAGGAGGGGTAGAACGGGTAATTAAAGGATGGGACCTAGGAGGAGGGTGTTTTGGGAAGTTTATGTAAAGTTAGTAGGCATACGGTTAGCGGGAGCGAGGGAATGTATGTAAGTGAGCCTCAGGATTAGGGTGGAGGAGTTTTTGTCATTTTTGTGTAAGAATAACACTGTGCTATTGGGAGAGACCCAACCCTCTCGAATTGGCTGGTTTTGTAAGCCTAAGGGCACTTTCTCTTTTGAATATCAAAGTAAAGCGAGGAAGATACCTCGCAATTTGGTATCAGAGCGGTCATCCTGGGAAAGAAGCGAAGAATGGTACAAACGAGGTTGGAAGAGCGTTGCGATGCCACCGAACAAGAGGTGGCCTGCCTGAAGGGGGCAGTCGAAAGCGTGAAGGAGCAGGTTCAGGCGAACCAAAAAATACTGGAAAAGTTTATGGCGAAAATGGACGCATGACAAGATATACTGGAGAAGTTTATGGCTGAAGTCACTGGAGGGAAATCATCGATGATGGAGGAGGCGACGGGGGAAGGCTCGTCACTGAAACGGAAGGCAACTGACGAGAGCACGCAGATCCTGGAAACTACTGAAGCTGGGAACGATCGGAGCAAGTTTAAAAAGGTGGAAATGCCGATTTTCCTAGGACCAGACCCAGAACCGTGGCTGTTTCGAGCCGAGAGGTATTATGAAATTCATAAACTGACTAATTCTAAAAAACTAAATGTGGCCGTGATTAGCTTCGATGGGATAGCTTTAGCTTGGTACCGGTGGAATGACCATCGCCGGCGATTTGTGGATTGGGATGATCTGAAGAGGAGAGAATGTTTCAGCAATTCCTACCATCGAAGAGGGGCAGATAGTGTGCTCGATTATTTGCTATCAGGCAAGAAACCACCATCGAAGACTACATTTTTAGAACTACGTGCCCTCCTGACGATTGGGGAAAAACAACCAGTGCCTCTACAGGTACAACCACCCTCTCTACCCCAAGGGATCATAGCCCTCCTAGCAGAGTATGCATCAGTGTTCCAAGAACCCACAGACCTTCCACCCAAGCGTTGGATTGACCATCGCATCCAGTTAAAGGAAGGGGAAAACCCCATAAGTGTACGTCCATATCGCTACCCCCAGGTCCAGAAGGAAGAAATTGGGAGGCTGGTGCAAGAAATGTTAGACGCARGTATTATTCGACCCAGCGTCAGTCCCTATTCCAGCCCGATCATCCTAGTAAAGAAAAAGGATGGGAGCTGGCAATTCTGTGTCGACTACAGGGCGCTGAATAAGGCCACAGTACCAGACAAGTTCCCCATTCCGGTGATTGAAGAATTGCTAGATGAGTTGCATGGCTCCACGGTGTATTCTAAGATAGACCTCCGGTCAAGATACCACCAGATTAGAGTTGCGAAAGGGGAGGTGGCCAAGACTGCGTTACGAACTCACGAGGGTCACTACGAGTTCCTAGTGATGCCCTTCGGCCTCACCAACGCCCCATCCACATTTCAGGCACTAATGAACCAGGTAATCCGCCTTTTCTTGTGAAGATTCGTGTTGGTTTTCTTTGATGATATATTGGTTTACAGCGCTGATATGGACACTCACACCAAACATCTGGACACAATGCGAGATAATGACTTGCGAGCCAACTGGAAGAAATGCACGTTTGCTCAGGGACGAATTGAGTACTTGGGGCATTGGGTGTCAGCGCATGGGGTGGAAACTGACCCGGAGAAAGTGTGGGCGATGCTCCAGTGGCCAATTCCGACGACTATAAAAGAGCTACGGGGATTCTTGGGATTGATCGGATACTATCGGTGGTTTGTTGCCAACTACAGTACGATTGCTGCTCCTTTGACTCAGTTGTTGAGGAAGGACTCGCTTGTTTGGGGGGAACCCGCAATGCAGGCTTTCGAGGAACTCAAGAAGGCCATGGTCACCATGCCCGTGTTAGCCCTGCCCGACTTTGCCATCCCCTTTCTGATAGAGACCAATGCCTCCGGGTTCGAGCTTGGGGTCGTCTTATCCCAGATTCAAAAGCCGATCACCTACTTCAGCCACACGCTGTCGACACGAGCTCGGATGAAATCAGTTTATGAGTGGAAGCTGATGGCAGTTGTGATGGCGGTCCAACGTTGGATGCCCTATTTGTTGGGGCATCGATTCATTGTGCGCACAGACCAACAGGCACTAAAACATCTCTTGGATCAACGGCAGGTTCGACCGGAATACCAAAGATGGGTGGCCAAGCTTAGCTGACAACCTTTCCCGAATGCCACCTGTGGGGCACTTGGCCATGCTTTATGTATCACGCCTAGTGGACTTAGAAGTAATTAAGAAGGAGGTGAACGCGGACCCCTACCTGACTCTAATCCTAAAGGAGTTGCAAGAAGACCCTGAGGGAAGCTCGAAGTTTAAGATGCAACAGGGGATCCTACAATACAAGAACCGATTGGTGTTAGCTAAGCAGTCATCCCTTATTCCCTCCATCCTTCACATGTACCACGATTCTGTCATGGGGGGACACTCAGGTTTTCTCCGCACATACAAACGCTTGACAGAGGAGCTCTACTGGCAGGGCATGAAGGCTGACATTAAACAGTATGTGGAACATTGCCAGGTCTGCCAAAGGAACAAGACTCTTACGACATCCCCCGCAGGACTACTCCAACCTCTCACTATCCCCGACCGTATTTGGGAGGACATTGCTATGGATTTTATTGAGGGTCTGCCTAAGTCCGGGGGGCACGACACCGTCCTGATGGTGGTCGATCGTTTGAGCAAATATGCCAATTACATAGCTCTCAGCCACCCTTTCACATCGAAAGTAGTCGTCGGCACCTTTATCAAGGAGATCGTGCGCTTACATGGCTTCCCAAGGTCGATCGTATCCGATCGAAACAAGATCTTTGTCAGCCATTTCTGGACCGAACTGTTTCGTGTGCAGGGGACCCAACTGAGGCGGAGTACGGCCTATCAACCCCCAGTCCGACGGTCAATCAGAAGTAGTGAACCGATACTTGGAAACCTATCTCTGATGCTATTGTAATGACTCCCCCAAATGATGGAATCAATGGTTACCGTGGGCTGAATACTGGTACAACACCACATACCACGTGGCGATCGGGGCCACCCCCTTCCAGTTGGTGTATGGTCGTCAACCCCCAACGATCATTGGCTATGATAATGTGAGAACCAACAACGCGACCCTAGATCAGCAACTGGCAGATAGGGACCAGGCGTTGGATCGAATGAAAGAACACCTGAGGGAGGCCCAAGAAAGGATGAAACTGTATGCAGACAGGAGAAGGCGAGATGCAGAGTATGAGGTAGGCAATTGGGTATATCTCCGGCTACGACCCTACAGACAGAAATCAGTGGCTAAACAAAAAAATTAAGCCCGAAGTACTTTGGTGTTTGGTCCCTTTGAGATTATCCAGAGGATAGGGAAGGTCGCCTACAAGCTGAAGCTACCGGTGGAGTCAAATATCCATCCCGTGTTCCATGTGTCACAACTCAAACTAGCGAAAGGACAAAATGATGCCATCCACAGCTTGAATCCGTGGGTAACTGAAGAGATGGAATGGCAGGCTGAGCTGGCTGAGGTGTATGCTACACGCACCAATGACGCAACTGGGAAGAAGGAAGCCCTGATTGCTTGGAAGCAGCTGTCGGAGGAGGAAGCTACGTGGGAGGAGATGGATGATATCAAGCAACAATTTCCTAAATTTTTTGCGGAGCATCTTGACAACCACCTTGAGGTCAAGGTGGAGTTTGAAGAGGGGAGTGATGTTAGGCCACTGATTATTCATACGTATGTAAGGAGGGGTAGAATGGTAATTAAAGGACGGGACCTAGGAGGAGGGTGTTTTGGGAAGTTTATGTAAAGTTAGTAGGCGTACGGTTAGCGGGAGCGAGGGAATGTATGTAAGTGAGCCTCGGGATTAGGGTGGAAGAGTTGTTGTCATTTTGGTGTAAAAATAGCACTGTGCTATTGGGAGAGACCCAGCCCTCTCGAATTGGCTGGTTTTGTAAGCCTAAGAGCACTTTCTCTTTTGAATATCAAAGTAAAGCGAGGAAGATACCTCGAAAAAGCATTTTCAATAGGCGAAGAGAAATAGAGAGTTATTTATCAATTATTGCAAAGCATAAGAAGTTGATATATTCACCATAGCATTGGTAACTGTCTCCTTCACGAGGATGAAGGAGAAGCTTAGAGTCGTGAAAATCTCAATTAGGGATGTTAGAATCTAAGAAGTATAGACACCTCAATTTGGATAACGTATTGGTGTTAGTGTTGGATCCTTGGACACATATCGGATATTTGTTAGCTCAATAGATGTGTGTTACAAATTAGTCGTACAAAGTGAATATGGATTAAACACCTGTTAAGGATAAAAAAGTAGATATAAGATAGTAATATAGGACAAAATAATAAATTTTGAGAGTAAAATACATCAAACTCATTTTTTGAAGTATAAAAATGCATAAGTTTATTGACTTTGAGTTTCCTTCGGTATAAATATTATATATACTTTTAAAAAATGGTATATTTTAATAAACGTGTCCTTACTATATCTGTGTCCTAGACTTTTAGAAAATGATGCACCTTTTTTGTGTCATGTTGTATCCATGTCTTGTGTCTGTATCCGTGGTTCTTAGGTTAGAATTATAAGTTAGATTCATTAGAGATACATTTTTTTTAATGCATTTGTATGCATGAATCATGTATTTTATTATTACTATTATTATTTTTTTTATTAGAATTTTTTTTTGGGAAAGAAACAATTTATTGATGTATGAAATTACAAAAGCCTTATAAGAGAGATTCATTCCTATAATTTTTTTTTATAAGAATGAATCATTTATTTTTAGGTGCATTAAATTTAATTCATTAGATGCTTGAATTGTATGTGTGTAGTGCTTATGTATGTGTCTTTTTTAATGCTTTATGGAGTAGTATGCAAGAAGGTCATTTTCCTCGCTTGTAATGTAGGAAGAAAAGTAATCAAAGAAAGTGAATTGAAAGGTCAATGCATGCTCTGCCTATTGCTATAACACCACTTTGTTGGAAGTATTGATAAGCTCAAAATGGAACTCACTCTAAATCTCACATGAAGGGAGAAGTAATTTGTTCTCTTACAAAACTTAACATGCAAGACAATAAAATTCTTCTCGAATTACTCTTTCATTTGAATTTTTTTCCATTATTACAATGGGGGAAAGGACCTTCTCATATGTTGCACCATAAGGCATTCAAAAAGACTAAATAAATATTTAGTTATATGCATACAGACAATTCATGTATATAATAATTAACTTTCTTGTATCTGGAAATAGATTTCATCCAAAAGCAAAGGATCTGGAAATATATGTTTGGGGTTGCTTCTTTTGTAATTTCATTCATCAATGAAAAATGTTTCTTACCAAAAAAAAAAAAAGGAAAAAATCTAGAAATGCATCTGGGAAATTTACTCAGTAATGAACCTAATGATTCAAGTTTATAATTCTAACAGTTGGAAATCTTTCGGATTCTGATCTTCCACGGGATATCTTGTCATTATTGAGAAGTAGAGCTAAAGACTGTTTGCAGCAAGGCATGATGCCTGAAAGGATGTCTGTAACTCTTGATTGCCATACAAAAGCTGTCAATGCGCTTCAATGGTCGCCAAGTAATGGTGATCTTTCTCTTTCTTTCTTTCTTTCTTCTCCTTTTTTTTTCTTTTTTTTTTTTGGTAAATTATTTGACATGAAATTTGCTACCTTGTTTCTTTTTATCATTAATACATCATTTATTGCCTGTTTTATTCTTACCTGTTACCATACATATCAGCTGTATATCGATCCAAGAAAAGGCGTTGATCTTTCTAGTTTTTATTTTTATTAAGAAAAATCACTTTTAATTTATTACTGGATGTTTTCTTCCATGGGAAATTTTTTAATATGGCATTAAGCTTCTTTATGCCCTGGCTTATTGATCTGTTTGTTAGAGTTAATCCAGCTCATCTCCTTGCTTCTGCTGCTATGGATCACACAATCTGCGTATGGAATGTATGGAACACAGAGCAGAAGCTAGCATTCAAGTCAAACATTCACAATGCTGCAGTTAAAAATGTTCAATGGTCACAAGAAGGATTGTCCATTCTTTCTTGTGGATATGATCGTGCTTCAAGATTGATTGATGTTGAGAAGGGGACAGAAGTTGGAACATTTAAAGAGGATCAAGGTGTTGCAGTTGTGAAGTTCCATCCTAACAACCCAAATCTCTTCCTTTCCGGTGGACTAAAAGGCAGCCTCCGAATGTGGGACACGAGAATTGGAAAAGTGGTTAACAAATACAACCGGCGTCTTGGTCCAATCCTTGATGTCGAATTCACCCCCCATAGCAACCAATTCATCTCTTCTAGTGATGTTTCTGCAAGCAATAGCAGTGAGAGTTCTATAATTGTTTGGGACATCACCAGAGAAGTTCCGCTTTCATATCAGGCATGTCACGTTTCCACCTTCCTTTTCATCACTACTATTGTCATTTGTCCTTTTCCATTAATTTGCATAATCCAACTGCAACCACTGTGTGAGAGAGCTGAATGATGAAGAAAAACGTTTGTCTTCCATTATGCAAACCCTGATGTTACCTAATCTAATCATGTCTCATCACTCCAAGTGGTCTTTAATGATAAAGATGCATCCTATGCCCTCTGTATGTTTGAGAAACATAAAGGAAATTGCACATACTGGTACTGCTGTGTGGTAGATATAAACAGTTATTACTTTAACACCATGATTTGTCAGTTGTTGGAACTAGCATGATCCCTATTTTATCCATTTAAGTGCCTAAGGTAATCTTTTGTTTTCTTTTTCCACTTTAATTATGCATGTTTGAGGTACTAGAGAGCTGATTGAAAGTGACAAAATAGGTTTATATGGAAGCCTACACTTGCCCATGCGTGAGATGCCACCCTTTTGATCCAGTTTTTATCGCCCAATCCAACGGAGATTATGTTGCAATCTTCTCACTAAACCCTCCTTTCAAGCTAGACAAATACAAGAGGTATGAAAGTCATGGAGTCTCAGGCTTTCCAATAAAATGTAACTTCAGCCTGGATACCAAGCAGATCATATCTGGTTCTTCAGATGGTTCTGTATATTTTTACGATTATAAATCATCCTTGCTTGTACGTAAACAAAAAGCATTTGAGCATGCTTGCATAGACGTTGCTATCCACCCGATCTTGCCTAATGTAATCGCTTCGTGCAGTTGGAATGGAAATATTGCAGTGTTCCAGTGACTGTTCTGATTTTATGTTCTGATTGTTCTTCTGGGAATCCTTTCACCAAAATCAAGAGTGAATGTTGAATCATATCCTACATTTTGTCTGATGATGAAAATGATTGAAGAATTTTCTTAATCATGCAGATTCATTTCTATCTTGGATTTGACTTCATGCTGGCAGGTTCAAGAAATTATAAGTTATTTAAGGCTACGTTGTTGAGGAGAAATTATTGGAATAGGCCGCCACTGTAGTTTTACTCTATCTAATGTGAGAGTAATTACAATATTTTCAGATATGTATCAAGTGGGTGGGTGTTAGAGGCTACATAGATTTTGAATATGTATCCAATCAATCATTATTAGAGCTGTTACATTGTAACAGTCTCATTCAAATAAATTCTTTTCTTCTTCTTCTTTTTTTTGGTGGGAGGATTCCTATAGAAATACTAAGCCAAAGGCCCATAATGCATACTTGGAGAATGATATTGGATTTTTTTAAGGTGGAGATGAAAAATTAAACTTCCGATCATTGAAGAGGAGTAAGATACCTTAACAATTGAACTAAGTCAATTGGTGTACTATGGCTTTGAACTTTACTACAATTAAAGTGAAATTTCAAAACTTAATGTAATCTTACTATAAGTTATTAACTTAAAAGGGTGTTCGACTCATAAAGAAAGTAGGTTTGGATGTGGATTTTAGAAATCAAACTTGTACTTTTGTTTAATGAGTTTGTTTATTTCAAACTATGCTATATATTATATATTAGGTTTTAGGTCATAAACTAACAAATTTAATATGCAAGTCATACGCCAGATTCTTATAATTGGAGGAACAATCCAAACACACAATATATGTACACAGAAATCAAAATATCTTCAAAAATGTATATAATATTCGAGGTTGAAAGCATTCAAAGTTGAAAGAAAACACAAACACTAGCAATGAGAAAGCCTAGGAAGATAAAAAGAGTAAGAATTGTCCATAGCATCATCCCTCCAAGTCCACACTCTTCAAAGTAATTGATGAAACTAGAGATCTACTTTCAAGTAGACTCTCAACTTTATGCAGTCAATGGAATAGGAATTGAAAATAAAATCGTCCTCCAAATTAGTAAAATGGAGAGAACACATTGAGAAACTTAAGGAGGGTGAAAATCATGAGATGGAGACGATTTTAATGTGCAAATTAAAATTTTTTTTCCATGAGATGTGTTCAGACCAGATTGTAGACACTTCGATTAACCTAACGGTTGATGTGAATGTTCAAGTAAATTTGAAAACCCGTAACATAACTTATCATGAGTAGATCAGAAATA